ATATATATATATATATATATATATATATATATATATATATATATATATATATATATATATATATATACAGGTGGGAAAAATGTAGGATCGAAAACGGAAAAGTAATTTGGAAGAAATGCACTTAGCAGACTTAGCATGAGTGTGCCTGCCCTATGATCAAATCACAGTAGCATCGAGTATACCACCTGGGAAGTCTAACAGATCGCAGGGGTTATTTTAATGTCTATGTGATTGAGACATTAACTCAAAACAACTATGTCAAGCCACTAGAAGAGTTTCCTTGTACGAGTTGCGATAGCTAGGACAGGTGAGCAAGTTAAGAAAGAATGGTGGGGAGAAAGAGAGGAGAAAAGACAGAGAGAACAGAGAGGAGGAGGGCATTTAGGACTTCAAATTTAATTTTGTTGTCTTTAGTGGTGGATTGATGTTCAACTGTATAAAAGGAGTGATGACGTCGTATAGTGACAGTGTAATAGTGTGAACCGTAATGGACTTTGAAGCCTAATCTATTAATTCTGTTACAATGAAGGCTTCCTTCTTTTCTATTTTATACGTATTTATTTACATCAAATATCCCTCATTTATTATTCTTATTAGAGGTTTTTTTGAAATTATTTAAATCTCAATTTATCACGTAGTTGCTGAAATATTCTTCAACCGTCTGTTTGTCTCCTTGTTTCTGATCAAAATGAAATGCGCTCTCATGGAACTGAAATTTGTAGAATAACTTTTTTTTGACACAAACATAATTATGGCAGATTTTTTGAAATTAAAATGAATCGTTTGATATTGACATTGTTGAAAATTCAGGTCACATTGTAATGTGTTTAGCAATGCGAGCATTGGTAGCGGTTAAAAGAGTGGTCGATTATGCGATAAAAATCAGAGTAAAACCTGACAAATCAGGTGTGATCAAACAGAATGTGCAGCACTCGATGAATCCTTTCGATGAAATTGCCTTGGAAGAAGCAGTTCGTCTGAAGGAAAAACAAATCGTTAAAGAAGTTGTAGCTGTATCGCTTGGATCTTCCAAATCACAAGTTTATTTAAAATCTGAAATTATTTATTGTGAACTCAAAAAATTTTAGTCTTTGATTTTCTGGAAACAGCTTCAAGTTTTATTTCTTTCTCATTCAGCTGTTCAATACTGAAGCTTTTAATGAATCATGTGGCTGCAGAAAGGGAAAACTAAATTTAACGTATCCTGCATATCTTTCTACTAGAATTCCTCTATTCTGCATATACTGCAAATAACTTCACATTCAAAACTTTTCAGGAAACGCTGCGTACAGCATTAGCGAAAGGTGCAGATAGAGCCATACATGTTGAGGTTGAAGAAGCTATGGCTGAAAAAATTGAACCATTGCTTGTTGCCAAAGTTAATAAATTTTTAACTGTAAGAGAAGGAGAAAAAGGAAGGCAAATTATGTGGACGAAGAATTTTAAAAATCTTAATGTCGAAATTAATGAGAAAATTATGAAACTCACTTTTCTAAAAGAATGTTGAAGGGCGTAAAGAGAAAGCAGAAAAGTGTCAGAAATCGTAAACCAATATCCAAACTTTATCCAGCAGAAATTTGGAGCTTCAGTCAGAAATTTAACGGATCAAATAAGAAACTGAGTAATTACTAATTACGATTCAGATACTGAGAAAAATAGCTGAAGCTGAAAAGCCAGATTTGATATTACTTGGGAAGCAAGCAATCGACGATGATTGCGGGCAAACAGCTCAGCTTCTCGCTGGTCTATTAAATTGGCCCCAAGCAATGTATGCTAGCGTGGTTGAACAAGAAAGTGACAAGACATTCATTGTCACACGGCAAGTTTGATACTTATTTAATTACACATGATTTATAACTAATTTTAAAGTTCCTATCCTTCTGATAATGCTTTGCGTAAGCGCATAGGCAAAAGTTACTTTTAAGTTCTAGAGCCACTTTTTTAAAAGATAGATCCAGGTCTTTGCCGTATGTGTACAGGGAACTCGTCTATATTTTTGGTAATTTACTACTTCATAATTTATTCTTACCGTTCAAACTTTTCCTGAGTGTAAGATAGGCATGGAATATACTTGTACAATCTTAGCCTTGTAAGAAAAACTATTTTGAGCATCATCAGTTGATGTATCAATCTGGGATTTCTTTTTTTTTTTCTAATTCTTTTTCCACTTTATTTTGTGAACCGGTAAACTTCGAAATGAAAAACTGATATTGAGCAACCAAGACAATCTCCAGAAATCATACAAATTTATTCTAAAAGGACGGTATGCCTGCGTAGTGACGATGCAGGTTGACACCGAAATCAGGTCATCAGTTTCAAATGAGCCAAAAGTGATTCTTTAATATTGTATTCAAAGACCGGACAATCTCCCCAGTTTTCTCCTATGAATTTTTATGTAGTATTAAATTGCCAGTAATTTCATGTTAAATTTAAATATTTCAGAGAAGTAGATGGAGGTCGAGAATCGATACGAATCAAGACACCAGCTGTGATAAGTGCTGATCTAAGATTGAACGAACCCAGATATGCTACATTACCAAATATCATGAAAGCAAAGAATAAGCCTTTAGAAAAAAAAACACCTTCCGATTATGGGGTTGAAGTCGCGCAACAAACACAAATTCTCGAGGTTCTCTCTTTCTTACCAGAAATTTTCTGTTCAATGATTTGCGCCATCTTTTTAGTGAATTGATGAAAAAGAACGGCCAGAATTGTCGTGTTCGTAGTGTTAACTACAATCTTCATTGCACGATAAGCTTTCTTTGATTTTTTTAAGGTTACAGAACCTCCAGTACGAAAATCGGGTGGTTTCGTTGAAGATGTACCATCGCTTGTTGTGAAACTGAAGGAGGTAGGCGTTGTGTGATTCCCTTTGTATATATATATTTTTATTCATTTAGTTATTTTATTCATTTATATTTATATATGCAAACTATTTGTGCCTCTGATGCATCCTTATGTTGTTCTAGAGCCATTTTGTAGCATCTTATAAAATAATTAGTGAAGAAAGTTTCACTCTGAAGGAGTCCCAAACTCCAATTATATTATTTGTTGTGCGAACACACGGGGGAAGAGACATCTTTTTCATACGGTAATATAAGGTGTAAATCTATCAAAAGGACACTGCCCACATACGCCACGATTTCTTTTCCATGGAAACAGATCAAATGTTCCGGAATAACTGTGCTTAAGAACGATAGTTTTTTCTAAATGCCTGCTGTTACATTCCCTCTGATTTGTGATTACTTGAAAAGTTCACATCAGTATAAGGCTATGGTGACATAGCTTGCGACATACGCACAACCTTGAAATATACATGGAGACTGCATTCACAGTTACAAAATATTTGTTCACTTATTTACATTCATTATTAATTCATTTATTGTCCGTCGATTGCGGCCGTTTCTCATATCTCATTACCGATTTTTTGTATATTTATTCATAAATTAACTGTTAAATGATGGACAGAGTTGTCCATATTATCCATTAACTTAGCAAAACATAAGCAACTGATGCATTTTCTCAACTATGCAGCTGCATGCATTTAGTATTCATTTCGAAATGATCCACAGTTACACATTCTCGTAAACATGACACATTTTTGTAGGAAAAGAAGGAGATTAAGGCAAGAAAGTCCACTTATCAAATATCAACTCAGAGTGACTCAAACTCATCAAATGAACGGGAAATCAATGATGAACAGTTCTTGAAATGCGAAAACTCGACCCAAAATAAATAGGAGTTCCAAGTAATTGATATATCCAAAACTCAGCACAAAAGGCATTTTCAAGGGAGGTCGGAGAAATACGAAATAAGCATTTAGAAATATGCTAAGTACAGCTCGATAAGAACATAACTGATATGATTATTACGGGTATTATGGATCAATGAACATCATCAGATTGGAAGATATGGGTGATCGTGAACAATAAAAGACTATCGTCTGTAAATATATAGTTTTTTAATTACCAATACTGATTAATGTCAAGAAGATTTTATGCTTTGTATTTTTGCAAATTACAAGTGCACTGCTTCAACTATGGATGAGAGAAAGGAGGTAGGCATTACAATAAGTACAATACGATTTCAATTCATTTCCAGTCAAGATAGCAACCATAACTTCCACATATTTTAGGAGGGAAACTCACCTCATAAAACGGGTCAGCTCTTCTGTACGCCTTCACGACCCTCCCATTCAGAATTGGGATTAATGAACGGTGATAAAGCATGCTTCCGAACATCAGTATTTAACGTTTGCATATGGGTAAATTGGATTTGTAAAAGGCGCGAATATGATTAGGAGTGAGTGCTTTCTTGTTTTAGTGGTACTACGTGTTTCTACTGAATGGTGTGGGAGTTACCTGAGTCGGTGTTGTAGTTCGAGACATACGACTTGGTAAGTGAGATTAAGCAACGGAATGTATAGGTCGGGTGAGGGTAGAGTGTAAATGAAGAAGCGTTAACATAACGCAAGTGTGTGTGTGGAAGGACAAGACAACTGGATAAAGATTGAAGAGATTACTTGCTTTGGTGTAACAGTAGTACTAATGATTGTAGGGATGCGTATAAAACGAATCGAAATAGATGGCTTCAAATCATATGCCCAGCGACAGATTATTGATGGTTTCGATGCACAATTTAATGCAATCACAGGTTTGAATGGTTCCGGCAAATCAAATATTCTGGATGCTATTTGTTTTGTCCTTGGTATTTCAAATTTAAGTCAGGTAATTGAATCTCCGCAGAATCACGCTTTATGATTTGCAAATATCCTTCCAGAATGGAC